AGCCGGCTTTATAGAAGATAAATATCAGTTTACAACACAACTGCCTAAATCTTGGTATTTTCGGAACCAGAGAAGGGATATGCCGATATTTAGGTCGTTAACCTAGCATATTATGATCATGAATATAATTTTCTATTTATTACCGAAGTCTTTAATTACGGAAATTACGCGATAATCTACTTTCCAACAAAGGCAGGCTCCCCGTCATCGTTGTATTTAGAAGGCGGCTTCTTAGAAGCAACGTGACGTCATAACATTGTTCATGATGTCATGTCACCATGACAAAGTGATATTTTACCCGGTGCATATCACATCAAAACAAATTATCCCCGATATGTTTGCCCTCGTAGGTTATAAGCATTGCTATGATCATTCTTTGAGGTTAATGCCACCCGTTGAATTCTTTGTGGTATTTTGAGCGTTGAAACTAAATAAATGATTTCTATAGTCTACCCATAACAATTAAGGTGTCAACTTCCACTGTATACCTTACAGAAAGAAGTTTTGACTTTACTTTGATAACGAGCACATCTGATCGATTCCTTGAAGCAAATGATACAATTCAATATCATTTCTACATTTTATTTTAAATGCATCAATCAAATACAACAAATGAGTCTAGACAGATTGACTGCTATGTGGCAAGGAATAACCAAGCGCCAGCGATTTATGATATCCTTAGTAAATGTAACTTAAAATTCCCTCTCATAAAAATACAATATGTAGTAATATGATGAAGAAAATAATACGAACCAGGTTAAACTATGACAACGCAATATATGAATGTATGATCGAAACATAAATCATAATAAATCACATATGATTAAAACATTAAATTAACTTCAAATATGTCATTGCGTCAACATTGAAAATAATTCGAAAATGAAGAAAAAGAAACGTACATTTCAAAGAGTAAACAAACAATATCCTGTTACTTTGGGATATGCTATGAAGAACTTCAAAATGTAATAGAAATAACATTAAATTATTGGAGGCTATTGCTCGTAAAATATGTCCTTGCGTCAACATCGAAAATAACTCCATAATGAAAAACAATTAACTTTAATTTTCGAAACATACACAAATAATCCCTGGCTTTTTTAAGACGAGTCACGAATAATTTCACAGCTGGTAGAATTAACATGAAATTATAGAAACCATATGCTAACAAAAATTTGAAAATTAGTAATGACAAAGCGTTTGTCACAAACATAGCTATTACCCCCGCCACATGTCGATATCTGAATGTCGCAATTATCCTCTGTCTGACCCTGAAAATTATGTAAACGTTACCGAAACTGTCATCTGATGCCATGATACAAAATACGAACAAATTCCATCCATTAGGTTTGGAGATATCGCAAGAATACTCGCTGTGACCTTGAAAATAATCCGAAGGTCACTGAATTCGACTGGCGTTAGACGATACTCCCAACGCATGTTGGTACTACCTTTAAGCAAAACATATTAATTCTGTCTTGTATTTTCGCACTAAAAAGTTAGACATATGCAAAACACTTTTCACTGTGAACTTAAAATGAGCACAAGTTTCCCAACCAATTGGTGTTGGGGGAATCCCGCCAATACACCTTGATATAAAATTGGATCAAAATCTTTAATACTTTCCTGAGTTTGCGGCTACCAAGCTTGGCATGTGCAAAACTGTTACACCTTCGCTGTGACCTTTAAAATGACCTCAAGGTCACTAAATTCAAGTGGTGTCGGTAGATCTCCAATCTCCAGTCAATAAACCTTGGTACCAAATTTGAACAAAATCCATCATTTCTTTCTCGAGTTCTTTCAGTAAACGGAATGGGGAGTCATTTGAACAAGCGATTGTAGTTTCCTGAAGTTTGTGATGCATTTTATTGCAGATTTTACGTTTTTTGGGAGTACCAAGCCACGATACAAAGTCTCACAAAATGGGGATCGTAAGGCTGCAACATAGCAAAACCAATTTGCTTGAGGCTGACAGATAATATTTAGAAAAATAAAACATAAAAACAGCTGCATTTGTATCATCGTCTAGGTGAGGCTGACTACTATTTGAACGTCCCTCGTAGTTATACCCGTTAGAACACCTACCCACCTCTCCGACTCTAGATGCATGCAAGTGTGTTAGATATACCCGTTAGAAACCCACCCCTACCCCTACCCCACCCCCACTTTATATGTATACATATCAATACAAAAGATATTTGCGAAAAGACATGATACAGAGGACAGTTTATATCGATTATATATCAGGACGAATATCATTTTCGTCATTTAGCTAAGATTTGTCAATTCATTCTTGGGTTATCGCGCTAACAATCTTTATATTGTGACCTTGAAAATTATCTCAAAATTGGATCAAAATCTATTAATACTTTCCTGAGTTCGCGGCTACCAAGCTTGGTACCAAATATATACCTTGGTACCAAATTTGAACAAAATCTATCATTCTTTCTTGAGTTATCGCCCTAACAAGCTTATTTGATATATGAAATGCAACGAAAAACAAACAGCCGCGTATTTACGAGTGATTAAAACTGTTATTACAATTTATGTAAATATTTATTACATTTTACCGCAACGAAAATTATTAATTAATTTACGTCAATTTCTATTACAATTTGCGTATTACAATTTACGTCAATTTTTATTACAATTTACGTTTTTATTACAATTTACGTCAAGTTTATTACAATTTGCTGCAAGTATTACAATTTGCGTTTTTATTACAATTTACGTCGTAACAAGGCTTGTTAACATATGTCAGCCCATTTACGAATGACCACATGTTGTAGTATATACTCCATGACATCCATGGTACAGAATGATGACAATTTTTATGGATATACATGTACAAGTTCTTTTATTCTGCGAAGGGCCACATTAGAATCTATGTCGAAACGTCGACCTTCACAGAATAAGCTGTATATCCATAAAATTTGTCATCATTCTTCATCAACTCAGACCCGTGAAGGTCCGTGTTAGAATGAACCTTCAGTAACCAGTGCTTGTCGTAAGAGGCGACTAACGGGATCGGGTGGTCAGGCTCGCTAGCTTGGTTGACACATGTCAACGGTTCCCAATTGCGCAGATCGATGCTCAACCTCGTGTTACACGTCAACCCCGTGTCCAAAAGCAACCCATGAAGATCCTGGTTAGAATTGATCTTCTGTAACCCATGCTTGTCTTAGAGGCGGATAACAGGATCGGATGGTCAGGCTCGATGTCTTGGTTGACACATGTCATTGTATCCCAAATACGTAGATTTATGCTCAGGATGTTGATCACGGGATGGTCAGGCCAAGACTCGATTATTTACAGACCGCCGCCATATAACTGGATTATTGCTGAGTGCGGCGTTCAACAACAAACAAACAAACAAACAAACAACCTGTCCTATTTTGCATGATGTAATTTCTGTTTATTTTTACGCTTATTTTATGCAATTGGGATACGATGGCATGTGTGCTGTTAATCACTGTAATGTCTGGTCCAGACTCGATTATTTACAGATCGCTGCCATAGAGCTGGAATATTGCTGAGCGTGTTTTAAAACTAAACTCACTCACGTACTCACCGTTGTCACACGCAAGTCAACTACTCGAATGCACAACACAAAACAAATGTTGGTAACGGAGCTCTGCAGTCTGAAGATAAATAGATACATGATGCAGGAAGGGATTACAAAACCATTCCAGTTCTTTCATCTTGTTTCACAAATGATTCAACAGAAACAAATGAATACGTCATCCCAAGTTGTCAGAAAAACACACATTCAGTTACATGTATCTCACAGCTCAAGGGACCCGTGAAGATCCGGGTTAAAATTGATCTTCATTAACCCATGCTTGTCGTAAGGGGCAACTAACGAGATCGGGGCCAGGCTCTCTGCCTTGGTTGACAAATGTCATCGTATCCCAATTACGTAGATCGATGTTCGTGCCGTTGATCGCTGGATGGTCTGGTAGTGTGCGATTATTCACAGACCGCTGCCATATAGTTTTAATATTGTGCGGCGTAAACCTAAACTCACTCACTCACAGTTCAAGGGAACAAATCAATAAGATACATATACCCTTTTCCAACGGACTCTATTTATGAGGATGACATGAGAATATTTGATAATATTACGATACTTTGCTACGTAGCTTAGATTTGAGGACATCACATAATAGGTATATAGAAAGTATTCACATACTAAATTTGATAGTGTGTGTTCACCTAAAAACATACCGATGATTTTTGTCGTATTTTACGGTTTCACTACCTAATCCATATCATTATGCCAATCATTTGGCGATGTAAGCAGAACCCCTTTTCTTCGACAAGACATTCTGTTCCGTTGATGCCTCGGATTAGTGTTGCTGCTACTGTTGTTCCTCATGTAATGTTGAAATATTTTTTAGTATCATTGACATAACCAGGCATTTTGAAGCCTGAAGAAATGAATCATAATGACATTCTTGACGCAATACATTCAAAACCACGAATCAACGTATGTGCAATGTCCCTTTCTTGTGTCAGGAAAGTCCACGGTACGACAGTGAGCAAGCATGAATGTTACAAGATGCTGTACGCCACTCCTTCCATTTCTACTTACATTTCTACAATGACGGCATCCATCCATCCATCCATCCATCCATCCGTCCGTCCGTCCATCTATACACATATACACGCACTTATTCACCATTCTTTGTTCTATGACAGAGTTAGGTACACAAGAGAATTTGGAGCAGTTGGATCGTCGATTTTCGCAAGCTGGGTACGATGACTTAAATACATGTTCTGTCATCGTATCGCATGGTGACAATATTTTATTTTATGCAATAACAAAGTCATCGACCATGGTCACCCGATTCCTTTACGACCAACATGGGCTATCAAAGTCAGCTGAGGTCCGGAGCACCCACCGACAAATCTGTGCTTATATGGAGATTCGAATTTTGATATAGTGTCTGATCTAATTTCATATTGAATAAAACATGTTTGCATTACTATACTTTCAGGTGGTTTCGTAAACAAGGCGGAGAACGTTATGCTGGCAAAGCCCAGTAAACTCAACAGTGTTGTCTGGAGTGCCGAATATGCGAATGATGGTAACCCCGGGTCCATACCGGCTAGAACCGGGTCCACTGTGAATCCCTACTGGCAGGGGGATCTACAGGGATACTTCACTGTCCACAACATCTCAGTTACGAGTGACGTCGTCTATAGTTATGGTGAGTCGTAAATAAAGTTACTTGAATATTGTCCACTTAAAAGTGTATGTTCAGTCTTAAATAGTGCAGATGCAAGTATATGCTGCATTACAAAGTTGATATCACACTGTACTCCGAGTTAAATTAACCATTTAGACCTACATGAAATTTCAAACGTTGTTTGACATGGAGAGTCACATCTTTACAGTTTATGCTCTTGTGAAATTCTTTATGTTTTTGACTGCATGCTGCCAATCACTGATGTTTTGACAACTTATTGTGTTAATCGTGCATCAAATAGGACAAGACCTGGGAAGTTCTTACGTTGGTGTGTCCACGGATGACAGCATCGACTGCCCTAACGCGGACATCTTCATCTGCGGCCAATGTCCAGAAGTAGTTGGTAGAGGAGACACCTTCACGTTTACTTGTTCCCACCCACAACCAGTCAGATTCGTGAAGGTCTGGAGAAACCTTACTGGCATTTTAGTCATTGCGGAAGTTGAGGTTGAAGGCACGCCCCTGAAAAGAAGTGGTAATACATGTGTTTATCTATGGGCATGATTTTCATAAGAGATCGAACTTTCTTAATCAGTCAAATCAGCTTTTCTTTCTTGAAAATAATAACCTTGTGTGTAAGTATACTATTCAAAATAAGAAACGCATAGAAATCTCTTGCGAAAATGTTGTATTTTCAAACATGTATAAATCGTCCACAAGCAGACTTTAGTACATGAATTTGTACACCAGTTTAGAAGAAGGAAATATCTATACAACAAAGTGGATAATTTTAGTGAGTGAGTCTGGACCAGACAATCCAGTGACCAATAGCATTGGCATCGATCTGCGCAATGGGGAACCGATGACATGTGTCAGACAAATCAGCGAGCCTGACCATCCGATCCCTCTTACGACAAGCTGGGGATCAATATTCTAACCCGGACCTTCACGGGTGGATAATCTCTAGCGTTGGTAATCTCCAGCGTGCATTCTTTCAATGGCAATGTTCCGTGTCGTAGCGTCAAGACGTAGCGTAGTGACCTTGGAACGCATTCAAAACGATTTCCGAAAGTAATCTGGACTTTTATAGCCAGACAATTGAAACTAGAAGGTGATTTCGGTTGCGTTGTGAAGATGCCTTTTTAATCCTTGCAAGAAATCTCATCAAAATTAACATTTTCAAGTGAAGTAGATTTTTTACTAGTGCAATTGGGTAAAACCATGTTATCAACACTTCTGTTACATATTGAGACGGACGTTTGAACACAATAGATAATTAATAGATATTTAATTTAAAATACAAAACGCATTTGCGTTTCCTTTTTGGATAGTATATATACACGTTCTGGGCTGAATAATTCATTTCTTTAAATGGCATTTAGAAGCTGGTATGATGAAGAGGGACACTTATTATGGATAGACAACTTCTTTATTGCAATAGATGAGATGTATCGGTGTAGATCCCAACACCGTTATTAAACAATTGTAAACCAATAGTGAGTGCTTTCCGCAATCTGATTGGTTAATTACCCTTGTCGAATATTGTTCGACATACCTGAAAATGATGGCCAAACGTTGGCACTAATACCGTACTATTTTCGCTGCATAGTTGGGGAACATTACCACCTCAATTTCTTTCTCTGGGATTTTGATACAATCTTTGTAGACGACGCATGAAATTGCATAGTTGAGGAACATTACCACCTCAATTTCTTTCTCTGGGATTTTGATACAATCTTTGTAGACGACGCATGAAATTGCATAGTTGGGGAACATTACCACCTCAATTTCTTTCTCTGGGATTTTGATACAATCTTTGTAGACGACGCATGAAATTGCATAGTTGGGAACATTACCACCTCAATTTCTTTCTCTGGGATTTTGATACAATCTTTGTAGACGACGCATGAAATTGCATAGTTGGGGAACATTACCACCTCAATTTCTTTCTCTGGGATTTTGATACAATCTTTGTAGACGACGCATGAAATTGCATAGTTGGGGAACATTACCACCTCAATTTCTTTCTCTGGGATTTTGATACAATCTTTGTAGACGACGCATGAAATTGCATAGTTGGGGAACATTACCACCTCAATTTCTTTCTCTGGGATTTTGATACAATCTTTGTAGACGACGCATGAAATTGCATAGTTGGGGAACATTACCACCTCAATTTCTTTCTCTGGGATTTTGATACAATCTTTGTAGACGACGCATGAAATTGCATAGTTGGGGAACATTACCACCTCAATTTCTTTCTCTGGGATTTTGATACAATCTTTGTAGACGACGCATGAAATTGCATAGTTGGGGAACATTACCACCTCAATTTCTTTCTCTGGGATTTTGATACAATCTTTGTAGACGACGCATGAAATTGCATAGTTGGGGAACATTACCACCTCAATTTCTTTCTCTGGGATTTTGATACAATCTTTGTAGACGACGCATGAAATTGCATAGTTGGGGAACATTACCACCTCAATTTCTTTCTCTGGGATTTTGATACAATCTTTGTAGACGACGCATGAAATTGCATAGTTGGGGAACATTACCACCTCAATTTCTTTCTCTGGGATTTTGATACAATCTTTGTAGACGACAAATTCTTGGAAGAATTATTCAAAGATGATGGTGTATACAATCACATGGCACATAATCATATGTGATCAGATAATAGTAAAGTGATTGAAGAGCCATAAAATAATATCCTCCAATGATGTTTATTCACAAATGAACTGCTCCGCAAATTTCAAGCATTCGAGTATATAATTTGGTACAATATTCCAAGTCTAAAGATTATTATTCAGCCAAAGAATAAGGTAATGATACTTGTTTCTAGATAATGATCTTCCAAAATACACCAATCCCAGCACTCCGGACGTTTCCACTTCGAAATTCCAGCGCTAACGCTGACCCGGCTCCATCTTGTACACCGAGCGTCCCTCCACAGTCCCGCTTTGCTAAGGTTGATGAGAATGACCTGAGGAAAATAATTGATGGGTCATTATCGAAAGCAACTGAGAGAAATACAATTTTCTTCAGAGGTGTACAACGTTTAACATTTTGTAAACAAACCAAAAGGAAGTTACATGTTAGTTACCTCCCTTTCGCTAGACTGTCACAAGGCTTCTAAACAGAATTATCAAAGGCATAAAAACAAATAAAGTTATTATTTCTCAAAAACAGCTTTCAACAAGATTTACATCTGATCTAACACTGAATGATAATATCATGATATACTAAAATAGCAAAAAATAAATACTAATCGGTAATAATAAAAAGATACTAATGCAGAAGATAAAAGATACTAATCTAGGAAATCCCACTGACACAAGCCCAAGCATATCAAAACAATTAAAAATGTTGAAATCTTACCTTTTGTGTCCGGTTTCATCCTTCAAATTGTACAAATCCCACATGAATCCCAATAATGAATCGTTCTTTCAACATCCGAAATCTGTCATCGATATCCGCGATTCTGTTGGGTACACCTCACTTCAGTCACGATGCGCTGGCAAAAATTCACTGTCACAAATGATGAAAAACATCTCCAAGAATGCCAAATTGCCACACACATACACAAATCACTGCCTTCGCGCAACAGCCGTCATTCTGCTATCCCATGCCGGAATCGAGTTGAAAGTTTAAAATCATACGGCACCGAATCCAGCAGTGTACAGAAGAGGTCGTCCTCGGCCATTTTGCAGGGGTCTGATCGCCAACGCGTCGATTCTCGTGCCGTTGCCACTTTTTCATAATCTTGGCCCTTTTCACACTTGCAAAGTTCTTCAATTGTATCCGTGATGGGAATGTTTCAGGGCATACACACTTCTACAATAATTGTCAGCTTCGTTAATCGACAGTAGGCCTAACTTTACACGATCAAATCCTTGTGGTCATCCTTGATTGGACCAGTCCACGTAAATTACATGAGGTGGAGAAGGTAGCATAAAATGGAATTCTTTCATTGTCATTGCAATTCCAGTGGTATTGCCGTAATTGAGATTGTAATGTTACTCATCAAATTTAATTTTAAAAATGACATTTTGTTTTGTGTATTATATATGACAGTTATTCATTTCGAACATGGCGTAACCTATCTCCCCCATTACGTAATAGCATAACCCTTCTTTTGTCGTTTCTCGTATCTGGGGCAATAGCAAACTTGACCACGAGAGGCTAACCGCATTGCGACACACGATTGCGCTACATTGCGACACACGATTGCGCTACATTCAAAGAGCTCCTTGGAAACAGGCTTCTCACTACAAATTGGTTTACAATATCGATAAATTTATCTTCTAAATGATGCTCAACATATGCAACGAGGAGAAATATATACCTGAAGGGTATTTAAGTTTATACAGTTGAAGAGGTTGATAAACAGTATGTTGATATAATGAAGCCTGTTGTGATTAGAGAGATGATTAAAGCCAGAAGGACAAAGGGTGGGGTATTCTTGATTGGCCTTGAATAGTTGGTCGTAAGCTGTAGGGATGTAGCAAACTTGATCTCTGTTGATTGTCGGGTTGAGTCCCTTGATGTTGATTGCCTCTAGAAGTGTTCCTATCTTGTAATCTAACCGGATGGCGTCATCTCGTATTAAGTTGAGTTTTGACTTACATGTTGTTTGCTTTCAGGAAGCAAGTACAATAAGGAGCTCAACACTAAAGTTACAAAACCGATGACGTCTCTCACGGCTGCCTCCGCCAATGCCTGCGGTCTCCAGTGTCACTTGTCCCAGCCTTGCCTGAGTTTCAGCTACCACCCAACAGCTGCTCCCAACTGTCTCCTGACAACAAACCCAGAGGATGCTGGAACAGCGGTGGGATGGACGAAGTACACCATCGAGAAGTGTTCGAGCAAGATCACCTGTGACCTGACAGACCAGTTCAAGTAGTACCAGATCTAATACCTTTTCAGTGGACGTTTTACTCTTGGCATACATTATTTCCATGTTATGTGATGTGTTGAATGTACAAATGGTACGTTATCGTCAAGATCCAGATTATAATTGATCTTAAGCAATCCATGCTTGTCGCAAGAAGCGACGCTGCCTTGTTTGACACACCTCATCGTATCCCAACTGCGTAGATCGATGTTCCGGGATCTTGATCACTGAATTGTCTGGTCCAGACGCTATCATTAACAGACCGCCGCCATATAGTACAAGTTGTAAAAATCTGTCAATCTGTTAGAAGTCAACATATGATCATTTTTAAGTTGTGAGCATTTGGCACAAGCTTCCGTCACACGATATGTTTATACAATTTGAAATGGCGAACAGTAGGGTAAATGAACTGATTTGTTTCCTCTTTAAGACCTTTTCGTACCAAAGTTTAACCATAACCTGATTATACTATTACTTGCGTAAATTGGTGCTGACGAGGTCAATCACTCGATTGTCTGGCCCAGACTGCATTATTTCGCAGACTGACATCATATAGCTGGTAAATTGTTGAATGCGACGTTAAACAAAAGACAAATCGTGCGTAGGTAATGTCAAGCAGCCACGTGACGTTAATGGGGAGTCACATCCGATAAAAATAGCATGCAAGTTAGGATAAGTACCTACAGTAATCCAAACTGTAATAATTCAGTTTCCAGCTTTAGAGTTATACCCATATACATACCATATAAAACACAAGTTCAATGTTGAGACGAAATGTGGTTTCGATTTTTCAGAGAAAACGTTTTCGGTTTATGTTGTGAACAACTAAAAGGACACTAAAGAACTCTCGGTATTTATATAAGTACAATTGCTCTGTAAAGACCTCGGGTGATTAACAGCAGTTAAATAAACTCATATTTCCAGCATGCTTAATGAACGATACTCTTAAAAATTGGGGAATATTCAATAAAAAGTGTCACAACTTTTGATGTGTTTATCATTAATCAGGCACACAGTTCAACGCTGTAACAAGGACGTCTGAATTGAGTTTTACCACACACGGAACACATTGCGATGTTATATTCATGGCCCTTATTTGCTTAAATTATCTTGAGTTGTTTTTTTATGATTTTCTAATTGTCAATATATGAATGTCAACTGAGGATGAGGAGGACGCAGATTCGTCTACTTTCGTATTTAACCCGTGAAGATCCGGGTTAGAATTGCTCTTCAGCAACCCATGCTTGTCGTAAGAGGCGACTAACGGCATCGGGTGGGTGAGGCTCCCTGACTTGGTTGACACATGTCATCGTTTTCCAATTGCTTAGATCGATGCTCATGCTGTTACTCACTGGATGGCCTGGTCCAGACTCGATTATTTACAGACCGCCGCCATATAGCTGGAATATTGCTGAGTGCGACGTAAAACTCAACTCACTGGATTATTGCCGAATGCGACGTTAAACAACAGACAAACAAACGACCTGTTTTATTTTGCATGATGATCTGAGCTGTTTATTTTTATACTTACAATATCTTTCAAGTAGTTGGTTTGTTGTTTTACACCTTACTCAGCAATATTCCAGGGATCAACATCCTGTGCATCGATCTTTACTGGTTTCTATATTTTAAGTAAGAAAGACATAAAAATGCTTCATACCATTATCTTGCATGGGTCACGCGCTTCGTGAGATGGCATCAGTGACTTAACCAATACTAAACAGTGGTTCCGAGACACTGGGTGTTCTTTTTGTGTCACATGGAGAATGATTACAAGATGTGTGCCTGACAATACGGTAGCTGGAGTCTTGGATTTGATGGGAAAGTGTATAGTCCATTATAAACCATCATTTGCTATTAAAATGAAATTGACTGGTACTATGTGCTACAGGATGGGGAACACCTATGAGTATCATATCGGAATAAAGTTAAGCATGAAGAAATATTGCGCTTTAAGTCACATGCATGCTAGGTATTAATACGAATGGCACTTTAGAATTATGTATATATGGATTGAAACTAAAATTTAACCATCAAACGTTCGTACGTTAACAATTGTATTCTAAAATGTACGAGGTTTACAACTTGATACAAGTCACTTCAAAGGTATTACAGAGGCAGTGCAAATTCAAAGGCTGTATAATGCAAAAAAGGTGTGATTATAGCAATAACGACAACATTCACCTCACTACTTCAATGTCAAAATTTGCAAGAAGCATTTCCTAGGCTGATTATCCAGGGTAAGACGATTCTCCACACAACTGCTGTTCTTTATGTAATTTGAGATGCAATGTCACATGTGAGTTTTCTCCCTTTATACACCTCAGAATAAGACACCAGATGATTCTCCAATCCTCTTGGTCAGAGGAGCCCATAGGGTTGTTAAGCATTGCAGTACCTTCCAGAACTTTGTCTAAATATAGCAGTTCTTTTTCATCATCAACCATTCAAGAAATTCTGAATAAGCAGCATGCATTATATAAGCGGATAAATGTGTGACAGTGCACAATTTATCATTATATTCTTCATGTTTGTATATTTTTTTGTATGAATGTATTTTGTACATATTTGCCACAAATTTCACTTTCATTTTGAAGAGTTGTAATATTGAAACGTCACTTCATATCATGGCTCCATCTGATTTATCGAACTTCGCAAAGATAATTAACATAAGCCATATACCATTGAAAGTGTCAACTTAAAACTCAATCCATTGTTTATTGCACCAGTAAATGTCTTAATGACCACCGTGCAGATGTCCAGGCCACAACTGTCAAGTAATTGACGTCAGCTATAAAAACTAATTTAACATCCAGACAAGGGTTGTAAAACAAACCGTAATTAAGCTGATGCAGTTATCCTGTCACGGTCACGTGACTACCCCTCAAAAACTCGTTTCGGCTTGTCCAATCAGTAACTGTTTGTAAAAATATCTGATCTATGTCAACCATCCAAAATCGTAATTACCCTATTATATGTTTTGGCCAATCGCAAGGAATTCCAACATTGATCAGTGATGTTTTCGGCTATAAATATTACATTTATATATGTTTTCTATGACGACAACTGAGGTATAATTGTGATTTGTGTTTAAATGATTTGTATGAATGATTACCGATTACGATTATTATATGATGTTAGGTTGAAAGATAGAAATGTTAAAATTGTTATATGTACAAGCTCTACCGTTTGAGATGCTAATTCCCAATCAAATTGTGTATATTAGATTATTGTTTGAATATGTTTTATGTATATGTATTTATGAATAACACACCTGACCTCACAATAAATGTTGAAACATCTCCTTGACTGATCATTGACTTAAGGAATTCTACATTCTATTTTAAGGATTTAAACTTGTTATCCTATAACGACCCGGGTAACAAATGTAAATATACAATGCAGAGGACATTTTTTGTGTGTGTGTGTGTGTGTGTGTGTGCGTGCGTGCGTGCGTGCGTGCGTGCGTGCGTGCGTGCGTGTGTGTGTGTGTGTGTGTGTGTCCGTGTGTTTGTAACATTTCGTTTTTACTCGAAGTCATAAAGAATATATCTAATAACACCCTTTAATTGTCAGGAACTAGTCAAGGTCGAGTTCAAAGTCGAGTTTATTGCAAATGTGATACGTTTCAAAGTTCATCAAGAAAAGCCCATACACTAATATTATTCGCAAAACAATTTGTAACAATATCCCAATGTTCGAAAGAGTCGCAAACATTTTTTTTTATTCACTATGTAACGATTTAGCCCAACTATTATGAACAATATGTTTATGACAGATCAATACAAACTTCAGCATAATTTCCTGACTTTAGAGGGAGAAAGCTTTCTATAATTACACAAGACAGTTAAAGTTGAAGTTAATATTAAATACTGACAAAATAGTACGTTCTCAAAAGATACATGTAAAATTAAACATACAAAATATATAACATACACATGTGAATATAATTATAAAAAATGGGTATATTCAACACATCAAGATATCTATATCAAAATAGTAGCTGCAAAGTCCCAAAACCAAAAACTGAAGTCTTATGATGTGGACAATATAGAATTTCCCTTAAAATACAAACATACAATACGTAGCCCTCTTATGATTAGTATGGGAATGTAAATACTTTGCAGCTGTCAAAAAGGACCAGCTTTTAAAATATTGCCTCAAACTGGAAAACATATGTTGAGCCCAACACAAGTACGAAATCTGATTACGTTTTGGCAAAACCAGGGCATTGAACGTATCCAGCGTTTTATAATATGTCTAAATTGGCGTCCGTGTAGGAAAGAGTTTCAGGATTGGTCAGAACAAACGTGAAGCTTCATCTTCATGAATGAAGAAGAAGAGGGTGTTTACAATTGGAGGTATTTTAAGAGAACTTAGCATGATAAAACGACCGAAGCCCAAATTCAGGTTTTGTAAAAAAGACGCAATATGTGTATAGTTTAGCAGCCATCAGTGTACACTGTCACCGCAATTTGGTGGAAAACCTATTTGTCATGGACATAAAAACCTCCAGCTCCCTGTAGGGTTCAAGCACATTGATCAAATCAAGAAAGACACATTTGTTGTTCTCTACTATACGTGAATTGTTTTGAATTTTGAACTTTACTTTGAAGAAAAATACTGGGTAATTAGTTATCAGAAAGAGATTTCAGGATACATGTGTGGATGCAGGATTGGATAGGACTTTACACGTGACAGTAGAGGAGAAGATGTTTGCGATGAATGACTCACTGCAAACCACGGATAAATTTATACAGTGAAACCTGCCAATACCGGCACCTGTCTAATCCGGAACACTGCCAAAACAGGCATAAAATTTTGGTCCCGCCATTTTACAACGATATTATGATCATTAAAACATTGTCTAATCCGGCACCTGTCTATCGACTTTCCGGTCCCAACAAGCAATTTTAACTGGGCATGGGTATGAGCAGTCCAATGAAGGTCCCATAATCCAATACACTAATTAATCCTCTTGTCACGCTAGATAATCAGGAAGTAGTGATTGCGCGGTGAATCAAACGCTCTAAGCCGGCATGGGTAGGAGCAGTCCAATCAGGGTCCCTTCATCCAATAAACTCCTCTCGGCACGCTAGATAATCAGGAATAAAGAGATTGGCGGGTGTAAATGGCAGCCATGTTCGAAAATGATCGTCAGTGTCTAATCCGGCATCCTGCCTAAACCGGCATTTTATTTCGGTCCCGCGGGGTGCCGGTTTAGACAGGTTTCACTGTACAGTATACATTGTTCTTAATTTATCATTAAACCTTGCTTCATTACCCAGACTCTCTCAATTAGGTTACTAAAATAACTGTCCGTTGAATAGACATCTCCGTTACTTGTTGGGGTCCTAATCGCCGCCAACTCAGACATCAAGACACCTGGCAGTTACGTTTCCCTGACCGATACCGTTGGAACCTGTGTTGGTTCTTTTTTATATCATAACGATAACTGCCAATGAGACGGTACTATCACTCAAAATGTTAAAAATGAATGTTTCTATTAGCGGCAGTGAACGGTAACTCATTGTGGCAGTGTCTACGGTAACGCACAAAAGTTGTCCTATCCGGATCGCTTTACAATCCGGGCAAATGAGTCGGTCCCAGACTAGTCCGTAATAGACAGATTCCACTGTATACCATTTGAGAAGCTGACTTGATATAAAATCTAAAGACGTATTAAGGCATATAAAAGACAAGCTGTTAGAACACCAATTTGTAACATAAAAAATCACTGCTAAAAAACAACACATTTACAACAAATACATACTAAGTGGACTATCAAAAAAGAAGAAACGAAACATTTCTTGGTGACGTTAATGATGCATTGTTCATGGCTTATTCAAGAAGAAGTAATATCCCCTGAAGGATACATATTTTTATGAGTAAGTGAGTTTAGTTTTACGCCGCATTTTAGCAATATCCCAGCGATATCATGGAGGGGGACACCAGAAATGGGCTTCACACATTGTACCCTTGTGGGGAATCGAACCCAGGTCTTTAGTGTAGTGAACAAACGCTTTAACCACTAGCCTACCCCTCCGCCCCAATACTCGTATACATGAATTCCAAACTTCAAAAGAGGAAGCAGATGACACTGCCTCACTTCATATAATGTGAGTCACTGTGAGGAGTTGACAGGTACTCTAACCCTGTGATTAGCCATTGGTTAACACGATATTGTTATTGCAGATTATGCACAATCATAAAACAATAGCACTCTGAGGTTAAACATATGATCGGGGACTATTTACAACAGTGTGGTGACAGAAGATCTTGAACCCATGAACATTCAGGTTAGAATTTGTCTTCAGTACACATGCTTGTCATAATAGGCGACTAACAGGATCGGGAGGTCAGGCTCGGAGACCTGGTTGACACATGTCATCGTATCCCAGTTGCGTACATCGATGAGCAACACTGGCAACTTTAATTTTGAGTGCAAGTTCGGTTCACTTAAATTGACAATTAGTGCATCACATAGTTTGACGGAAATTGAATAAAGCAGTGACCGAAATGTTGTTTAGCATATTTGTCACGTGATGGTAATGGTGTGCTAAAGTCTGGTACCAAAATACCTCTGAGACAGTCAAAACGTTTTCGCCTAGACGCGTTAGTTAACTCAATGTGCCACAATTGTGGCTCTGGTACTAATTGAAATGGTGTGTCAGGTCACAGGTGATGTTGCTCGAACACGTCTCAATGGTGTACTTGGTCCATCCCACCGCGGATACTCCACCAGTTGGGTTTGCTGTGAGGAAGCAGTTGGGAGCAGCTGTTGGGTGGTAACTGAAACTCAGGCAAGGCTGGGACAAGTGACAGCGGAGACCACAGTCATTGGCGGAAGCAGTCGTGAGAGACGTCATCGATGATGCCGCTTGGTAGTTGTGTAGTTTCCGGTACTTTGCTCCTAAGGTAAAAAATCAACAAAAGGTACTTAATAATGAACAATCAAAAAGGGTGAGCAGTTTCGGTCGATGACATCGGTATTGCAACCTTCATTTTACTTTCTGATTGCTTTACAGACCGCCTCCATGTAGATGGAATATTGATGAGTGCGGCGCTAAACAAACTTTCTGAATGTACATGTTCTGCCAGTTAGAACAGGGGTTTACTTAATCACTGAATTACATTTATATGCTTAAATGTTACAACACACGGATAATTAAACAAGTACTAAAAATGTAAATCATCTTAATAAATGAATGAATAAGGCAGTTCGGCAGTCAGTTGTTTGATTCTTGTGATCGTGCCACAACGACTCCGGACACTGGCCTAGATTTTCGAAGCTCTCTTGGCGCTAATATTGTCGTAAGTGCCATACATTAACATTGACGATCTTAGTGCTAAGAGGGCTTCGGACAGCTAGGACACTATATATAAAAGCAATTTATGGTTTGTCTGGTGCAAACTTGAAACTCTGTCACAAGTCTTAGATATTCCTTATTGTTAAACAATAATCAACAACAATGAAAAAATAACATCCTAAATGGAGGTTCTTAAATTACCGCTTCGGTGTTGTGGAGTTCCTTCAACCGCTACCTCATTTAAGGCTAAATATCCAGTGATGTTTCTCCAGACCTTCACGAATCTGACTGGTAGTTGGTGGGAACAGTTGAACGTGACAGTTTCTCCTGCTCCAATGTCTTTTGGGCACTGGCCGCAAACAAAGATTTCCGCATCCGGACACTGGCTGTTATCATCGATGGAAACACCCACGAAGGCACCCCTCAGGTAATACCCTGTTTATAATATTATAATACAATATTTACAGGGTATTTCTTTCAGTATCAATAACTTGTCTTGTTTCAAATATTTCCAATAAAAACTGATACTATAGTACTATATGTAATAATTACATTTTTATTACTGGCAAAGGGCCTATTTGCTTTTCTATCAGATGCTCATAACTACCCATTTTTAACCTTAAATAAACCACTAGGGAAAGTCATGTCCATTGTTCTTGGAAGTGTTTTATCAGCATAACTGAATAACTGCCCTAGGGCAATTATTTCTATTTAAAAAGAATAAAATTGTAGACATTTTCATAATCTTTATCATGCCTAATACATTACACTCGTATTAAATATGTATGCCCTCGTGGTGTAAGCCCTTTAATCACCCTCACTGCTGTAGTCATGTAAATAGATTCTGCTCGGGCTAAAGCCCTCGCAAAGTTTATTTAAATAACCACCTTGTAAGGGTGAACAACCTATATGTAATCCTTTCGCAGTAAAGCATGCGTGTAAATGTTTCCGTATTTGTAAAAGATTCTGCCAGGGCACGAACAAGATCGTTTGGGTTACAGTTTCCGAAAGGAAGGAATAACCTTGAGTCTAATTCCAATGAAAGAAATTACGAGAAATAAATAAAACCTATCTATATGCTGTCTGTCTGGTGCCATTTTCCTGTTCATAGAAACAAAATATTCTCTTATTGGAGAACAGGACAACAGTCATGACTGGCCAAGGACTAGTCGTCCGGCTGTGACAACCAGATTCGGTCAGCGCGATACCCACGTTGAAAGCCATGTATGTTGTTATTTACGTTAAGATACATGCCTTTTTACTGCTGACTTACAACTACTAAGGTATGGATTCTCCAAGAAGGTATAAATTACAGACTTACACAAGGTATCAACTACACCATGTTAATGTGATGGCCAGATGATGTTAGTGTTACGGTTAATAACTTGCCATGACAAAAGGTTTAAAAATCTCCTTTGAACCAGCAAAATATAACACAGTCGAGTCTAAAATATGCAATAATATATTGAGCAAACAATGAGCAATGAATCACAATACAGAGTACAATGCAATTGAGTCACAAATCTAAACTCATGGGTCACATATAAAATATTAACTCACCAGAGTCGTGGTAACCACAGTGAGATCAGATATTCTAAATGGAGCTTGTTTACAAATGAGAGCAGTCAGGCACGAAGTGTCAGGGTCAGACGATGGCGATGTGACAAAGGACGAAGGCAAACAACGGGCAACTCCGTGTGTTAGTCCGTGTGTCAGTCCTTGCGTGCACACCACACAACAGCCAGCCTTTATATAAACTGACACAGATTCTCTAACTTTCCAGCAAAGCATGGCTGTATCATTAACCACTTAGATCTTTCTCGAAACGTGTTGAACATGCGACATGACGATGTCAACACATAAACATCCGGTCAAGGGAGGTAACTCTTGAGCACTATCATGAAGGCGTGCCGCTAAAATAGTGTTGCCATTGAACATATATGACTCGAAATGTGACCCACAACCAACACTCAAAACTTTAAACACTGTGACTCATAACTACCATCACCCAACCAATGCTACTACAAACCACCAAAAAAACACTCTCGTAACATTAGTAATCACAAAATACCCACCTGTGCTGTAGACTACGTCGCTTGTGACTGAGATGTTATGGACTGTATAGAATCCAAGAAGATCTCCTTGCCAGAAGGGGAAGGGCATAAGTCCAGTATAAGCGTCCTGGTTGGCAGTATGTCCATCATTCACATAAACTGTCAAACCACTTCCGTCACTGAGTTTACTTGGCTTGCTCAACATAATATTCTCTGCCGTAATATCTGTTAATGCAGAAAATATGGTAACTCGTTAAAACTTTCTACAAATCGTCAACACTTTACGTTGATAACAGCTTTGCAAAGATTTGACAGTTGAGCTTACCCGTGTGGACAGATTGTATTTCTAATTTCCCCTTGAAATGCGGAGTAGTGGGACGACAATGTTGTATAGGGCCTGTAAGTCTCGCGAGACACTACGTACGGTACTAAGCTGCTTCCCAGCTTCCTTTGCGCTAGCCAACTTGCATGCGAGACGTGGCCCATTTTACTTCCGGTACCAGATATCCGTTGACAAGCGAGCGTACATTCAAGAACCAGTTCTGGTCCCAAATTGCGCCACCGCCAAATATGACTTTACTAGACCGGACCAAGCGTGCAACCATGCAAATGGCTGTCACAGTTGTTGACAGTCGCAACAGTTGGCTTTAGCTGAAGATGGTTAGACCGACAATTTGTTATTCCTGCAAGGATTATCGTTCCTTTCTGTCAACTGACAACCATGAGTCCATTCGAAAAGGTATGAAACCGTGTTTGTCACCGGAAGTACTAATGTATCGCACAGATCGATGCTCATGCTGTTGATCGCTGGATTGTCTTGTCCAGACCCGATTATTTACAGATCAACGCCTAAAAGCTGGAATATTGCTTAGTGCGGTGTAAATCTAAACTCACTCACTAATGCTTGATAAAACGTAGTATTGTTTGTAGGGTCATGAATGAAAGTTTAAATTACAATCAACGCCTTCTTTCACAGTAGTAGGGCGTGCTTTATAGCATTCGCATAATAAATGATATCGCCATGCCAGCATGTGTGTTGAACAGGACTACTGAACAGAACATTCACATCCTGCTTGACCCAGCCATCGTCTATGCATATAGCATGTTATTATATTGTTCTGTCCTGAATGGTATCATTATTAGAACGCCCATTGTCCATTGTATAAATGTATGAATGAATGAATATTGCTGCATCAGCAAATTCACCAAAAGATATAAGATCAATATCTTTTGAAAATGATAAAAGCTTGTGGCTTTGAGTTTGTGAAAAAGTTGTTTTAAAGTAGAAAAATTAAATTGTTTGTTTTAACAATGTTGTTGCCACATAGTCTAACAGTATATGTTTCCTGGTAGGCTGACTCTAACATAGAATACACATTGGAGCATCATCGCACTTTTAAAGAAAGAATGGGTAAAATGAAAATAGCCTATCGGCAACGTATTAAGACATCCTCATCTCTACGACTACGTGTACTGATATGGTTAACACTATGAGGTGAGGTGAAATTCCGTTTTACGTCGTGCTTGAGAATATTTCGCTTTTATGACGACGTGCATGCGTGTGTATGTGTATGTGCGGCTGCTTGTACTAGACCAGACTTAAGCTGGTTTTATAGTGCTAGCCCACTGATATACCATGCCGCAGTGAAGCATGAATACCCCACACATTATACTGACTCCAAGCCGACCAGTCCTTGTTGTACCCATTAATGCCGAGCGCCAGACAGGGACCAACAAGTACCATATTTTAACGTCTTTTGTTATGACGCGGTCGGGGATCGAACCCGAAACCTTCAGCTCTCCGGGCGGACGCTCTAACCACTACACCACGGAGGCGGTCCTTAACACTATGATCGGTGGTATATCATAAAGCTTGTTTATAGGTTGTATTTCCCATTTTGATCGCTATCAGTGATTAATATACTCCCGTCCAAAAGAAACTTGATACCTGACAAAGTACTGACTGTGTGCAGAATTTCAGTCCCATGTCACTAAAACCTATTGTAATATGAACATAAATCTATTGAGAAGCACATCACAAAATTTACAGAAGGTGTGAAATTTGACATTTACATAGCCAAAAGATAAAGACTTTACACTTTCATAGACTTTCAGAGTGGTCCAAAAGCTTTGCCAATAACGGATGTGTCCTCCTTGGGCCTGGATGCATGCAAACACACACTTGCGCATTGATGACGTTGTTGGGTATTTTCTGCCACTCCTCCCTCAGCGCTTGGATCAACTGCCGACGTGGTTGTGGAGGTGGTTGTTGTTGTCTGATACGGTGGTACCAGAGGTGTTCGATTGGTGACATATCAGGAGACATTGGGGGCCAGGGTAGAACGTTGAGGTTGTTGCGATTAAGAAAGTCCTGTACAACTCGGGCAACATGTGGCCTGGCGTTGTCATACATACATACGTACGTACGTACCTACCTACCTACGTACCTACCTACCTACCTACCTACCTACCTACCTACCTACCTACATACCTACCTACCTACCTACCTACATACATACATACATACATACATACATACATACATACATACATACACCTACATACATACATACATACATACATACATACATACATACATACATACATACATACATACATACATACATACATACATACATACATACATACATACATATAGCGCTAGTTTCTGGCATCTGCCACTCAAAAGCGCTGGAAATGAGTCTGGAACGACATTGGTCAAGTTCGGTAGGCAGCACTGAACAAATGAGTTTTCAGTTGTAACTTAAATGCTGGTAGATTCTCTTGCGATCTCAGGTGCATAGGTAGACTGTTCCACATTACTGGACCAGCTTTTGCGAATGAACGGTCGCCAAATGTCTTTGTTCGTGTGGTTGGTACCTCCAAGAAATACTGGGAACCAGACCGTAAGGATCTGGGAGGGTAGTGTCTTTTAAGAAGATTTGAAAGGTAGCTGGGGCCAAGTCCATCCACACACTTGAACAGTAACAACAGTATTTTGTACTGGATCCTGTATCTGACTGGCAACCAGTGTAGACGGTGGAGTACAGGGGTGATGTGATCGTATTTCTGGTGACGGGTTATCACCCTCGCTGCAGTGTTCTGCACACGCTGAAGCTTGCCAAGTAGATGATCAGATGTTCCAAACAGCAGCGAGTTGCAGTAATCAAGTTTCGACGTGATGAAGGCTTGGATAAGAGCTGAGGTGGTCTTGACATCGAGATACCTCCTGATCATGCTGATATTGTGAATATGGAAGTACGCACGCTTGCAGACGCTATTGATATGCGTTTCCATGTTCAGGCACGAGTCGAATATCACACCCAGATTCCGGGCTTCCTTGCTTACAGAGATCGCACAATCACCAATGCAGAACTCTGGAAGGGAGAGAGAATTTTTACTTCGTTTGGAACAGAATACTAGAAGCTCTGTTTCATGATGGAAGAGAGTCCCTCGCTGCTGTTGCTGCAGGAACGGGAGAACTATCTGCCTCAAAACGTGGTTGATGTGGCGTTGACCAGCCAGTGTCTCGTCAAACACAACAAGTCTATTGGTCCGGTCTCCAAAAAATAATCCCCAGATCATTACACCCCCTGCGCAAAAAGGCTCCGTCTCCTGAATGCAACAAGGAGCCATTCGTTCGCCCAGTCTCCGGTAAACTCGAGTCCTTCCGTCAACATTGAACAGAGAAAACCTGCTCTCATCTGAAAGAGTACCCTTTGCCAGTCACGTCTCTGCCAGCGTCGTACGTGACGTGCCAACTGTAATCTTTGCTGGCGATGTCAAGGTGTCAGGAAAGTTCCTCTGTACGGTCTGTAGTTCCTAATGCCGTAGGCACGGACACGTCAGGCCACTGTATGTCGACTGAGGTGGCGACCCAATGCCGTTGACGTTGCCGTCAGGAAGCGGTTACGTAGGTGGAGATTACGGATGTATTGGTTTTCCTGTGCCGTTGTGATGCGGGGTCTCCCTGGTCTGGGCCGGTCTCTCGTCTGGCCAGTCTGCTGGAACCGCTGGATGAGGTTGATATAGCCGTGGTAGGGCAACCAAAGGTTCTCGCAACGTGACCACGAGAAGCCCCCATTTGGATGGTACCGATGGCTCGTTCATGCTGTTCTGCTGTCAGTCTCGGCATTCTTGCTGTGGTTTTCAAATGACACTGATGAGACAGAGGGTAATATGGGGGCATTTTATACCAAGAATTGCACGTGCGGTTCGTGCAACTGCGAGAAAACTGATTTTACAAGAACCGCGCCTGTGAACCATGCTTTGGAACTGTTGCGTTCCCGCTATACAATTTCAAGCCTCTATGAACACGGGAGAACTCGGGACATAGTATTTTGCAATGTTTGAAAGGTCACACTTTCTTTAGAGCGAAAATAACTGGGTCAAGTTTCTTTTGGACGTGAGTATATATTGCCTAATAGGTATATTCTCATCACTGTCAAATTTCTTCTCGTCACGATAGTGCTGAAATATGTGACGTCATGTATTTACTCACTCAGCCAATACTCGTCCCTAGTATGGTAATCTACCTTCCGTTGTTGGTGACTATAACCCGGTTTTGATATTGCATTTTATCATACAATGGATAGTGTTCTCGGCAAGATAAAGCCAACGGATATTTTCGGTATCCGTTGAGGTCATATACGGATATCGATGCAAATTAGAGAGGTCATATGCAAATTTCAGGGACTACTTTCACAGTGTAAACAAACATGGCGTCAAGGGTCGGCGGTCGTGTCCGGATTGACGGCCGTGGTTACGGTACTGTCAGTGCTTTGATCCCAGAAAATTCATGCCTGGTTATGATAGATGGAATAGATTATAAAGCGAAGATAGAAATTCATAGGCTTACGAAGATACCAACATCAGTTCCCCGGCCGACTGTCAGTGTTAGCAAGAGAACGGCATAGGTGCACAATGTCACGCGAACATTAAAGTGTATTTTGTTGTTCGAAAGGTTAATTGAAGGTTTCTGAAGTTCCACGCGAGTTTGTTGTTATTTTTCAAACGTAAGCTAAGATTTGTTGACAACAATACGTGCTTTAGCATAAAGTTTACTGGGAACTAGATGACCTACCGCAGTCAACTGCGTGATCAGGAAAAAATTTATGTCACCGGGCTTGTGACGTAACGTATTTCTCCGCACATATTTGTGACGTCATATACATTCCACAAAGTTTAGTTTCATGATTTGTAGCGTTTCAAATCGCATTTTTTTAAATTATAAAGCAAAAATGACATTGTATGATAAATAGTTATCATCACACTCGTGTGTTTTGGGATGGTTAATATCCTGCATTAGGAATAAACACTATGTATTTAGCTCGCCAAGGCTCGCTAAATACAATGATTATTCCTAATGCAGGATATTATCCATCCCAAAACACACTCGCGTGATAACCTATATTTATCATGCAATGGATAGTGTTCACAGGAGGATAAAGCCAACGGATATTTTCGATATCTGTTGGGGTCATATACGGATATCGATGCAAATTAGAGAGGTCATATGCAAATTTTAGGGACTACTTTCATAGTATAAACAAACATGGCGTCAATGGTCGGCGGTCGTGTCGGGATTGACGGCCGTGGTAACAGTGCTTTGATCCCAGAAAAGTCATGCATGGTTATGATTGATAGAGTAGATTTCAAAGCGAAGATAGAAATTCATAGGTTTACGAAGATACCAATATCAGTTCCCCGACCGATTGTTAGTGTTAGCGAGAGAATAGCACTAGGAATCCAGGTGCACAACGTTACGCGAACATTAAAGTGTATTTGCTGTTCAAAAGGTTAACTGAAGGTTTCTGAAGCTCCACGCGAGTTTTTTTTTTTTTTTTTCAAACGTAAGCTAAGATTTGTCGGCAACAATATACCTGCTTTAACATAAAAAACTGACTAGGAACTATATGACGTAACGCAATCAAATGAGTGATCAGTAGAAAATTGCGTCACCGAGCTTGTGACGTCACGTATTACTACGCATATATTTGTGACGTCATAGATATGAGGGCACATTCCACGAAGTTTATTTTCATGATTTGTGGCAAATGAAATCGCATTTTTAAAAATTGTAAAGTAAGAATGACATTGTATGATAACTAGGTTATCAAACACGTGTATTTTGGGATGGTTAATATGCTGCTTTGGGAATAAACACTATGTATTTAGATCGCCACTCGCTAAATACATCCCAAAACACACTCGCGTGATAGCCTATATGTCTTGTATTGTAATAAAAAATGTAATGCTTACATGCTAGTTTAAACATTCTATCTGTGATAAATAGTTGTTTTACTGTCCTTTGTTGACAGATTTTACAATACAAATTATATTCCTTATTAAAGTATATATTGTTATAGTCACAATACGGCTGCAATATTGCCGATGTGACTCTAAATCTTAACTCACTCACTCACCCAATACTCCCTCACTCATTCGATCACTCTCTCACTCGATCACTGACTCAGTCTACACAGTTGTAACCGATGGGCACTACCGGTGTTGCCAACTTTACTACATAATACTGGGGTACGTATGTAACAAATGACTAGATGAAACAGTGTAGAACATATTTTTATGACTTTTCAGATTTGAGTTCAAGTTTAACAACAGTGAACATTTTGTTTACTATTTCAAACAGGTAACTTTGCAAACGAATCAAACAACGTACTAACATAGTAGTGTTTAGCAGTGTTTATTAGGTATAAAAAGGATACATGGTTAAATAAAGAAATATGAAAATCATATATACCATATCCTGAGGAGCGGCTGGTTAGCCTAATGGGTAAAGTGTCCGCCCCTCATGCTAAAGGTCTGGGCCTGATTCACCACAATCATTGGTACAATGTAGTTGGAATATTGGCGCAAAACCATACTCACGCACACGTTCACTTACCTGGTACAAGAAAGAAGCAAATTCCAGCAAGAAGGGGATTCAACAGCATCCTTTGGTTTACTTAGAGAAGGCCTAGAGTGGATGTGGATTGACGTCTTCACCTTATGTAGCTTCAGCTTCTGTGAATTCAGCAACGAATGCCTCAGTTCAAGGGTAAGCAAAGACAAAGAACAGATGCTGTCAATATCGGTTTCACAGGATGCCTTACGTCAGAAAAAATTATGGCAATCTCCAACAATTAAACATCCAAGTGAAATACTAAAATTACACGCGACGTATTTATAATTGGCTTACAAAGAACAACTCTGTTGGGGCGTGGCCAAAAACTGTCGCAGCTAGGATGCCGTATTTTGCTTGGTTGCTGCAAAGATGCACTATCATCTTTCGATGCTTAGCAGCTATACGGATTGGACAGAAACGGGAAGAAGAGGCTCATGCATCAATAAGAGCAATTTGAATTGCATCTGTTTCTATTAACAGTAACACCATTGCATGCATTGTTCAGTATGTGAGACGATCATTTACTATCACATCATGAATAGTCTAAATAACAATTAACATCTGTGACGGTCCAAATCCATTTGTGGTCCAAATCCAGTTTCAGTGCCATAAACAACTACTACTGTCGGTTCGATTCTACACAATGGATGTCTTTGAAAGATTAGTCCCAACTGTAGACAATGGAAGATATCTCAGTTCCCGCAATATATTATGTTCACAATTATGACACGGAGTAGACTACAACAGAGTTCTAGTGCGATTAATATATTCCAGGCGGAAGCCGAAAGGATCACCAGAACGGAGAAGTCTTTAAACTAAATTGGTTAATCCGTTGTTGTTCTCATTAAGTATGTCCTAAAGTACACAAATGTGCAAAGGTAGCATGGACAGTGGACTTGTCCTCTTTTATACGTGACAAATTATCTCAAATCTCTCGACCTCTTTTCAATGTTTGCATGACATTCCTGGCAAACCTTCCATGTACAGTTGATTATTGATTATTCACCACCCTGGACTTAATATCGCATGCTGAATAGTATACATGTATGGTATGTTTCATGAAAGACATAGATCCTTCCTAACCTGCAAGTTGTAAGTGAAAAAATGGTCGAATTAATAGATTGTCCATTTCATTTGTCATTCTCTGTCTGTTGTCAGTGTGTGTACAACGTCCACGTCAACGTATGTACAACGTAAAATGCTGGTCTGTTACAAGTGTCAGAGGATTAAAGAGATACTTGTATGTGTTGCAATAAATAAATAAAATAAATAAATAAATAAATACATACATAAATACATAAATAAATACATAAATAAATAAACTACACCAATAAATAAATAAATAAATAAATAAATAAATAAATAAATAAATAAATAAATAAATAAATAAATAAATAAATAAATAAATAAATAAATAAACTTGCACAGAACGATCTTAGCGCTACAATTATTGTAAATCATTCAGATCGCGATCTTAGGCTTCGGTTCCAATCGCCCACCACTTGCACAAAGCAATTGTAGGCTAACATCATTGTAAGGAGCTAAGATCATATTAGTCATTTTAGAAATGACATTCAAATTAGTGTTTGTTTCACGCAAATAATCAGCTTTACGTTTTGTTCGCCTCGACACTTCAACAACACGGAGAATGCACAACCGATTTAACGTCGGATACATTAAAAATTGTTATTTACTGTAGTGAAACACATAACTATCGAGTCGATATCACAAAGTACTATTCCCACCTGATTCAATGTTGGAATAGGTTTGAAACAACATACCTTCTTGATAATCAAGGAAAGGATAATAGCGAATGGTGTCCGCGTGCGATTAACAATGGCCGTGACCTTTCATTAACCCAAGAGCAGATAATTTTACTTTATACGCAAGATGGGAGTGGTTTCTCTTGGCATATGCCGTTGCCTGTACAGTCTGTCATGCCCAATTGCAGAGCTCAACATACTGATATTTCTCTTTCGGACATGGAATGATTTTGTCTTAGTTTACCATTAAAGTAATCTACAATTAGATACAAGTAAACGTGCAAAATCAAGTTTCTTTCTCAACCATAAATGTAGATTTGATTATGCAATTTAAATATATACCAGTAGTGATCAAATAGGGATATACACATGATGAGGCATTAAAAATATGTTTCAAAAAGAATTTCACTTTCAGAAAAATATTTAATTATCGCAATAGGGTTAAATTATTAATATACTGTGAATGCGCATTAAATAACTACTCTCTTGAAATATTCATTAATACACGCATTTCCCCTGCCATGCATTCTTTACAACACTTCTGTAGCCATTATTTTATTGTATTTTATTCTAGGATATATTTAGGATTTTGACATTCATTCACTGATAAACAAACTCAATGATGAGCTTTAAATATACTACCCATCAAAAGTTTAGACTCACTAGTGTAAAAGTAGCCACTTACTTCAGTCAACTGTTCAAAATAGATTTTTGCAAAATATAATGCATGATCCTCGTACTGTTCATCTGCATAAGGTTTGCAGTTGGTTCCCCCAAGTTATTTGAGAGATTCATCTTCCATGTAACTATATGTATATATATAACATATAGTGAGTGCTATAAGTGAGTCTAAACTTTTGATGGGTAGTATATGTCAGGTGAGGGAGAGCATCTCAACTCATAGGGAAGAAAGTTCCAAAGTACAGCTTGCGCATTCTGAAAGGTTCTGGCACCAAATGATTTTAACACAAAGGAGGAACTAATCAGAAGAGCGTGGGCTTCGCGTAGGCTTCGCGTAGGCTGGTAGACAGATGTTCAAGTTTGTAGGTATAGAGGAGATGTGTTGTGAACACCCTGGTAAGATGATAAGTCGTAACCAAGAACTATGTAATAAAAGACAAACTGAACACATATAACTAATAGTATAAAGAAATCAGGAAGGACCACTGCACTTGCAAACACCTGTTGGTAATGGACACATTAACATTTCTAACAAAACCTGGCATCCCCATGATAACTGGTGAATCATGCTTCCATTTGTAAAAGACTAACACAGACCAATACCAATTTAATTCTAAATTTGCAGGATTGATATTTTAAGATAGTCTTTTATCGTATCATGTTTGCAATCTACTCTATTCTCAGACTGAGAAGGACCGCCTCTATGGTGTAGTGGTTAGAGCGTCCGCCCGGAGAGCGGAAGGTCGCGGGTTCGATCCCCGACCGCGTCATACCAAAAGACGTTAAAATATGGTACTTGTTGGTCCCTGCCTGGCACTCGGCATTAATGGGTACAACAAGGACTGGTCGACTCGGAGTCAGTATAATGTGTCAGAGTGGGGTATTCATGCTTCACTGCGGCATGGTGTCTCAGTGGGCTAGCACTATGAAACCAGCTTCAGTCTAGGCTAGTTCAAGCAGCCGCACATACACATTCACACGCATGCACGTCGTCATATCAGCGACATATTCTCATGAACGACGTAAAACCAAATTTCACCTCACCTCACCTCAGACTGAGAAGAGAGATTTTATAATAATGCTACTGTCCATTTAAATTCACGCGACAAAGTGTTCCAGTAACATAATTTATGAGAGCAATTTGTGGCTGTGCATAATTAAATTTGACAGGTTATGTTGCTTGAACACTTCTCGATGGTGTACTTGGTCCATTCCACTGCTGTTCCAGCATCCTCTGGGTTTGTTGTGAGGAAACAGTTGGGAGCAGCTGTTGGGTGGTAACTGAATCTCATGCAAGGCTGGGACAAGTGACACTGGAGACGGCAGTCATTGGCGGAGGCAGCCGGTTTTGAAACCACATAGTTGAACACTGTATTATACTTACTTCCTGAAAGCATGTCAGTCAAGACTCGATACGAGATACGAGATGAAGCCAACCGATCACATTAGTCAAGACACCATTTGCACTCCATCTACATGTCGGTCTGTAAATAAACATGTCTGGGCCACACAAGCCGGTGATCAGTAGGATGATCAAGACAATGGGGATACGCTGACCTGTCTCAATCAAGTCAGCTAGTCTGACCACCCGGATCAGTAAGTCAATTCTTACGACAAGCATGGTTTGTTGAAGACCAATTCGTACCCGGATCTTCACGGGTATACATCACTTGTAAGAACTAGTGCTATAAACCCATTTCCGGTATGTTATCAAGAAAGCAGATACTGTGGTTGGCCTTGTGGTGTAACAGCGACAGAGAACCATATTTCACGTTTGAAAAACTACAATTAATAGCGATTATTTATTGAGTTTAAGTCCACGGTTTCAAGTACAATAGGGCGGTGGGGTAGCCTAGTGGTTAAAGCGTTCGCTGGTCACGCCGAAGACCCGGGTTCAATTCCCCACATGGGTACAATGTACACCATTTCTGGTGTCCCCCGTCGTGATATAGCTGGAATATTGTTAAAAGCGGCGTAAAACTGAACTCACTCACTCACTCACTCAAGTACAATATGTAGGTTTTAAATACCAATATCATGATTATGCTAAATTCTTATGTGATTTGACACCTTCATTCATATAATGTGGCTAATATTTATCTCCGACCAAGCGTACACATGAACAGTACAGCACAAACCACACAAACGCTTAAATAGCATTGTGTCCCAAGTATTCAATTTGATATCAAAACAATTACATGGATTGATTGTAAGTTGGCTTATTCCCCCTGAACCCTCAGAACAAAACACTGGTTATATTTGTTAATTGAAGACGTCAAAGAAAATTGAAACTCTTCAGTGTCAAGAATATAAGATTGGATCTGGTACTAGTTGAAATGATCAGTAAGATCACAGGTGATCTTGCTCGAGCACTTCTCGATGGTGTACTTGGTCCATCCCACTGTTGTTGCTGCATCCTCTGGGTTTGTTGTCAGGAGACAGTTGGGAGCAGCTGTTGGGTGGTAACTGAAACTCAGGCAAGGCTGGGACAAGTGACACTGGAGACCACAGTCGCTGGCGGAAGCAGTCGTGAGAGACGTCATCGGCGATGCCACTTTATAGCTGTGAAGTTTCTGGTACTTTGCTCCTAGAAACAAAGAATCAGCAATAGCCACTTATTAGTAAACAATACAGTATGGGAAACATCTCTATGATAATGAATGATACCGGTGTTGTAACCTTCCTGTTACTTCCTAAATGTTTTACAGACCGCCTCCATGTAGCTGGAATATTGCTTAGTGCGCCGTGAGAGACGTCTTCGGTGTTGAAACCACAGAGTTGAACGCTTTATTGTACTTAATTCCTAACATCAGAACAAAATGTCAGTGGGTAAAGAATTAAATACCTCTGACCATCAACATGCTATAAGTGCAAAATAATCTACAGAAAGGAGTTTTCATTTCTGAACGAATCGGGTTACAACTTCAAGACATAAAATTCGGACATTATTCTACTAAAATATTGGACAGGTGG